GTCATCATGGACAAGCTGCCCTCGCAGCCCGAGGCTGTGCAGGCCCTGTGGTGCGCAGACAGCCAGGTCTCAGGAGCTACAACCAGGTAGCAAATGTGGTGGTGTTTATATCCAATTATATTATGATGGTTTAGAATGTCCTGTTGTTTACAGTGACCTTGAAATTAAGTTTTTTGTTATGTCACATATTCTAATTAAGTGACTGTGTAGACCTCATATACATTGCTACTTAATAAAAATATACATACATCTATATAACAGGTGCTAAAACCATTTTAATTTTGTTCACTTTTGTAGAAGGTATTGCCTAATAGTCTGTTATGAACGTTGATTGTAGTAGAGTACATGTAGTTAGTAACATTTAAAGAGGAGCTCTGATAAGTAGAGTGCTTAGCTACTACAAGGTACCTCCTGGGAAATTGAACTTGTGTTCGTCCTCCTTACCAACACCAGGCTCTGGTTTCTTACTCCCTGGATTATTGCTGTGCTCTAGCATTTTATCTTTTCTTTAGTGGCATTCTGTGTACCAGTACCAGGCTGCTCACCCTAAACCCCAGCCCTCCTACTCAATAAGTTCTATGCAGTAAGTAAAGCATAACGTCCCAACTCCTCAGCTTTCCATTTAAAACCCACCCCACTCTGCTGTCATCATCTACTTCTGCTCCTTATCCTTTCACTCATTTTCTACACGTGCACCTTGCTGCTGTCAGACTGGTGATTCACATCTACCTTTTACTCAGGCTTTGTCTTTTTTACCTATTCATATTTTGCCCATTTTTAATTTGTTATTTAAATCTTCTGTGAAGAATTCTTAAACCATTTTCTTCTTAAAATGACCCTTCCCTGTCTGAATGATACTTATTTTTTATATATGATACCTAGTTTAGCTACTTAAATTTTAAGTTCCTTGATGCATTTGACTGTGTATTGGTCTGTACTATGATAAACACTTGCTAAATGATTTTTTAAATGTATAGGAAAATCTTCCTTTAAGGTATTTCTCTAACAGTGCCTATATTTTATTTTTACAGATACGTATTCACACATACTGGAAACTGTTGTTGATACATACCTCTTGAGACATTTGCTTTGCCAAAACATCCCTCCATATGTCATATTATTACACCTGCTAATAGTAGAGTGTTAATGATGTTGAGTTCAGCGTTCTCAATTTCCCCGCAGGGTGTCTCTACTCAAAGGCATTTTCTCCAGTTTTGAGCAGTGTTCTGGTGAACTCTCTCTACCTGTCTGTTTACAAGGAGTAAGGAGTAAAGGGCAAGCTGAAGCTGCTGTCACCTTGTATCAGCACGTTTGTGTTCATCTGTGTGCATTTATCACTTCCTTTCATCCCTCACTGTTTCCTGAACTGGTACGTTTGTTACTTGCTGGGCTAAACTGAGGTTACACTTTGCCTTCTTTTCATTGCAACTGTGATTCATACATAGAAGAAAGTGAGAGAGTAGTAAATGTGTATTTATTTTGAACGTCATTCTCTCAGCTTGCACATTTTACTCTTTAATTCAGTTGGATCCTAGGACATGGTGGTCCTAGAGTCCTATAGTTTTTCAGATGTCATATTTAGCTAAAATATTTGAGAAAACATTTTGGGTGGGAAGGTATGGAAAGACTTTGTGAGAAAAGGGAAAATAGGATTTTACTGAATTCAGTTTCATAAAGAAAAAGAGAAGTGGACAGGAGTATGTAGTACTAATTCTCTGGAGTCTAGGCTTAACTTTTTTTTTTTTAAGTGGAATTGGATTAGAAAAGATGTTGAGAAAATTCTAGAGAAAGAATTCTTAGAATTTATGTAAGAATCAGTGTCATTTAAGATAATACTGTGGTAATATTCAGCACATATTAAATATTGTATTTGGTTTAAAGTGAAACTGAAGTATAGGCATATACGTCATACATGTTGTATTAATGATTTCTTCCTACTTAGAGAATCTCGGGGAACCTAGTGTTTGAGGTACCACATAGAATCTCCATAGCCCAGCGTAATGCTTAACGTGTAGTAGGTGCTCAATAAATGTCAAGGGCGTGGCAACATGGGTTCTTTCAGATACCAGAACGTAGAGCTTTCCCACTGAGGATCTGTTGTTGTTTGGACTGTGATGGTGTTTTGTTTTATTTTGAGAAATGTAATATTGATAATGTCTCATGAACTTTCTGTTTTTCTAGGATACTGCTCTGTTGGATGCTGTGCTTAGTGCTAATATGATCACCTCTCTGTTAGCTATGGATGCATGGTGCTTCCTTGCTCGGTACATCATCCTTACTTTTTTTGGGTTTTGGGTTGATTTATAGTAGTGATTGGCAGTAAGTGACTTTATACTTATAAGTTTATAGAAAAATTCTGTCTTGAAAATTCTTTAAGAGCCCCTGAAAATGGTTTGATTTCATATCACAGCACTACATTAGAAACCAGCTTCCCCCTTTCTTTTCTTTGGTTTGAGTCAGTGGAACCTATTGCTAAGGTAGTTTTGTATATTGTGATATTCTTTAGCCATGGAAATAACTGTAATTTAGAATATTTAGTGCTTTATAGAAGTTCATCTCCTTTTCTGAATAATTGTCTGAAGATTGCCTTCTGTTTATGTTACAGGTATGGGACTGCTGAACTCTGTGCCCACCATGTCACCATAGTGGCTCATCTGGTGAGTATAATTATAAGGCCAAAACACCCACTTTCCACGCAGTTCCTGGGGATATGTTAATCTTAAAAAATGTGAATATCAAAAGGAGAAATAATGTGGTAGCTAAATTATTTTGGCAGTTTCTTTGCTTTGCATTAATACTGATGCTATTGAGAAAGATACACTAGAAGCAGTGTAATACTGGGGAAATTGTCTCATTTTCAGAATTTTATGGAGTTGTACTAATTGTTCTGGGAAAGAAAGACTGGGTTGATTGAGGATAAATTTAGATTGAATGCAAAGTAGAAACTAAGTTTTAAAAAGGTTGATGACCAGGAGTTCTTACTCTCCCTCCCTCCTACCTGCCCTCCCCCACTCTCTCTATATGACTTAGACAAGCTGACTCTTGGTTTTGTTGTATCTCTTTCAGTCAGGATGATTTGAGAGGGATAAATGTGATAAGGTGATCAGTGCCTCTTGGGGAAAAAAGTAATGTCGTGTAAATGGATACAAAGAGAAAAAATATGATTTAGTGACAGCCCATGTTAATCTTTTCAATGCTGATCTTTTTTTACTTTTAAATTCCTAGATGTTTGATATATTACATATAAGATGGTCATGACCTGTTTGTTTGTTTTTGGTCCTGGCCTTTGATAAAGAGCTTATGTGGGTCCATGTGTCTTTTGTTTTTTAGTAGAGTTATTGTGTCATATATTTCTTGTTTACCTTTTAAGGATGTTGTAGACTAAATCCGGTGAGATGTTTCATAACCAGACAGCTGACATCTACGTCTCCATGGCTAATGGTCTGGAGCACTTAACCCACTTTCCTAAATCCTTGACACGTCTTGCACAAAACAGAGTGATTTTTATATTACGTGTGTTACATCTCCTTTAAATAAAAGCTCTCCTAGTATATTATGGTGGGAATGTATAAACTCTTTTGGTGAAGCATCCATCTAATAGAGATATTTACTTTTGTAAATATCTGTACTTTTGTGGTTAGGTCTAAAAAGATTCCATAAATTGTCTTTGAGTTAGAGGGATTAAAATACAAAGTTATAATCAAAGTGGTAATAAGAAATAGAAATTCCAAAGTATTGTTTTCAAATGTAATGTCAAAATTGTTTTCTCATTATGAAAGTAATCTAGGTTCATGGAAGAGAAAAACATTAAATATAGAAAACCCCAAATTAAAAATTAAAATTACCTATAATCTTATCCCCCAGAGAGGGCTGCTGTTAATATTTTGGCATATAAAAGTTACCAGTCTCTCCTCTCTCTGGTCTCTTCCCAGATAAAGTCTTGCCCTGGAGAATGTTACCAGCTCACCAACCTAGCAATACTGCTGAAGCGTCTCTTCTTCTTCATGGCCCCACCTCATCAGGTAAGGATGTCATCTTTGTCACTGTCTTTGAGCAGCTGCTGAGAATTGAATTCAGACTCTTTTGAAGGCTTTTAACCACCCACCCCCACATTTAAATGTTGACATGATCTGAACATAAATTTTTAATGTATTGATTGCTTTGCTTATTGCTTTTAGATGGGTTTAGATGTTATTGTTAAAGAAAAACCAGAGCTATTTAGTAGTTAAAGTGGTCAAAACAGATCTTATTCAGGAGCTGTTGCAGTAGGGGAAAAAGACTGCAGTGTAGAGCTGGGCGCAATTCTGATACAGCATAAACTAGTGGGAATCTGTGGTCAAGGAGCAGGGTGGGGCCAGTGGATAAAAATTGCTAAGAAGAAACATCAGGAGTAAGGGGGTGATTCTGGCTTAACAGGTTCACGGTGAACACAGACCAGAGTGATCAGATACTAAGTGTGAGGGGTTCTTTCTGAATTGACTTAACAGGATTCTTGCTAAAACTGGATAATACAGGCCCACAAAGGATGAACACAAGTCCAAGGTTCAAGGCTGGCTGAGACGAGGGCCAGACTTAAGTTTGGTCGAGGAGAGAGTCCTTGTCATTGTCTTTGCTGAAAGTTACAGATGACCGTTCTAACTCTGTCTTCTTTCTCATGTTTCTCATACATTTAAGGTACTTGAAATGAAGTGGTTCTATATCCCCAGCCCCTTTTAACTTATTTTGAAGAACTAGAATATCACTTATGCCCTTAGTGATACCTTCTTTAAAACTTTTTTTGTACAGTAAGTAAATTAAACTTGGAGAGGAAAACAGAAAGGATGATGAACCTCGGTAGTTTGCTGTGGTGAGGACAACGAGCTCTGCCAGGACGGGGGACGTCCTCCGGTTGCAGGGACCTGTGTGGCCTGGCCTAGTCCTTTGGACTGGTCACTCTGAGGTTCCTGTAGGAGCTTTTTAAAAATACAGTGTCCTGGACCTTAACCTGTGAATGGAGTGAGTTTGGAGTGGTAGCTATGAAACGAGGCTCAGTACTTTGTTTTTATGAGTATTATCAAATTCCTACATGATTCTGACATGGACATAAGCTGAGGAACCACTGGACGACTGAATGGTGTTACAGGCCTTGGTGTGAGTCCTGGCTGACTGTGACCTTGGGCAGGTCATACTTTCCAACCTCAATTTCCCTGCCTACAAAGCAGCAGATCTTTGTAGCCATTTTGAAAAAAATTTTAAGGACTTAGAGATAATATATACAAAACACACAGCATGGCGCCGGGCTTAGGTGGGTGCTTAGTAAATGCTGGGAGTCATTTCTGATGGGAGTATTTACCGCAAGTCCATGCCTGCTCTGCTGCTCGAGAGAGGTTTGCCAGGCCCCAGAGGAACCACACCAACCTGCCAGCCCTCTTCCTTGCGCTGTCCCCGAGGCAGAGCACCCCAGGCCCGGCTGGCAGCCAGCCCTCTGCAGAGCGTGTTAGGGTTGCTGTTCTTCCCTCCAGAACTCCTGAGGGCTTGTCTGCTCCACATCTCTTAGAATTTTACCACCTTTTACTCCCCTGTCAAAAGTCTTGCCCCTGGTTCCTGGCACGTTGTTCTTCCTAGAAGCCCTATTAACTGGGATGCCCTTCCTAAAGAAGTGAGATTTGGAGAAGGAAGGGTCCTTTTAACCTTAATTTTCTCACTTATAAAATAGGGATAAAATCCTTTCCCCAGGGTTGTGAAATTTTAACTTTTAGGTTAATACAATTCAGAATGAATTAGCCTAAAGGAACTAGAAGCTTTGTTATAGACAAACTGGTTTATGTTGAGAGGTCTCTTACATTCTCAGTTTTCTGAAGTTTTCCAAATAATTGAGGCTGCCAGATGTGTACATCACGGATAAGGGAGGGCTTTTAATTTTTGCCTTCAGTTATCAAATACTGACTTTTCCCGCTATGGTCAAGTTACTCTACTAAAACTTAAAACTAAGGGGCAAACCTGAATTTGAATCCCTGTTCTGAGAGTCCTTGGGAGAGTTCATTAATCCTAAAATTGAAGTACTAATACTTACTCAGATGGCAGTTGTGAGCCTTGAGGAGATAAAGAAAAAAAATACACACACACACACACAAATCAAGTAAGCATCTAACCAAAGTTCTTCTGGCATGCTCAGTTTATTTTTCTTTTAAGACATGTTTTACTTAAAAAAAAGAAAGGTATCTGTGATACATAGTAATTCAGGGGGGAAATGCAAGTATATAGGGAGATTAAAATGTATCTACTGTTTCAATATTGGAGAGTAATGATGGAATGTCCTGTCATTTCTCTTGGTGTGTAACTAACTGTTCAAAGTATTCCTATTTTATAGAAACAGGGAAAAGTACAAGGAGGTTGCCTGAGGGGAGGGACCTAATACGCCTGACGTGGGCTCACTGGTGGTTGTGCTGCCACTTCCACGTAAAGACGACTACATTTATGTGCATTTTAAGCCCACTGGTGTCTGCTTCTCTCTCCTTGATGTTAAGGAGGGAAGTCATAACGATCTGCACATTATCCCCTTATGCTTCACTTCTTGTGAACTGTCAGGACTAGCAGTTTTAAATCTTGAAAATTGTGCCGTGGCCAAGGTTTTCAAATTCAGAATAGTAAGTCAATCAATCAGCCTTTGTATGTAACAGATTTTGCCAACACCTACCCTTTTGTGTTATCCAGGGCATTATGAGTTATAGTTCTGTTTTGGCAAGGGATTCACTGGCTCACTGGACTTGGTTAGAAGGAAAGGTCTTGTTTGAACTGATGTTGATCAGTTGGCACAATTCTCTTGGCTTTCCTAATGCAGTTTGATTTCCTGAATAAAGCTGCTTATTATAATAGACACATAGCTCATCAAGGGATCCATTTTTCTGGCTTTATCTGCTGTCCCAAAAGATAGCTACATGATTTCTTCCTTGTTTTGACAGCTAAATATTTTCTGCAAACAAAATAAAATCCAAATATAAGTGAAATATATAATGTAGAAGAGTTTCTCTGTCAAATTTAATATAGTGGGGGTTTTTGTTTGTTTCCTTTTTTTAAATTTAATTTTATTGAGTTATAGTCAGTTTATAATGTTGTGTCAATTTCCAGTGTAGAGCACAATTTTTCAGTCATACATGAACATACATATATTCATTGTCGCATTCTTTTCACCCTGAGCTACCACAAGATCTTGTATATATTTCCCTGTGCTATGCAGTATAATCTTGTTTGTTCTATATATACCTGTCAGTATCTACAAATTTCATACTCACAGTCTGTCCCTTCCCACCCCTCTCCCCACTGGCAACCACAAGTTTGTATTCTATGTCTATGAGTCTGTGTTTGTTTCTGATACAGGGAAAATTTTCATTCAACAAGTAGATTTTGGATATTGTAAACTGAATTATTCTACTTTTAAAAATTACATTACTAGAATAGATAAACAGATCATACTGTATAGCACAGGGAAGGGAATATATACAAGATCTTATGGTAGCTCACAGCAAAAAAAAATGTGACAATGAATATATATATGTTCATGTGTAACTGAAAAATTGTGCTCTACACTGGAATTTGACACAAATTGTAAAATGACTAATAACTCAAGTAAAAAAAGTAAAAAGTTAAAAAAAAAAACCCACAATATGGTATCACTACATGCCAATTAGAACGTCTGAAAATTTTTTTTCAAGACTGCTGGCAAAGATGCTGAGCAGCTGAAACTCTCACACATTGCTGGTGGGAAGGCAAAGAGATAATATGGAAAACAACTTGGCAACTTCTTATGAAGTAAAATACACCTTTACCATCCATACAACCCAGAAATAAACTCTTGGGTATTCACTCAAGAGAAATAGACTTATTGCCAGATTAAAAAAAAATTACATTACTGTACTTCCTAGTGGATTATACCTAAATTAGTAACTAAGTGCACCACTGTTTTTGCTGTTTTTCACCAGAAACTAATTTCACATTTTAACTGATTTTTTAGAACTTTTGTTTTCCATTTTTGTCTAATCTGTTGGAGCCTTTTTTTTTTTAAACAGTACTGTTTTTCTGTTAACCTGGAGGCACTTTGAATTATTTCAGTGATAGAATGGATTTGCTAACTGTACTGTTCTGAACATTTGTGAATGAGTTTTATATGTTGTCTAAAAGCAGAGCTGGCTGGGCCAGTGGAAAACTGAACCTGTGACCTTTGCTTCTTTAAGTTCTTAACCATAGTCAGCTGGGTAGTAAGCCACAAAGGTTGGCTGAATGAGTCTTGGCATATTTTGAAATACTACTTTTGACTTAACAAGGTGGTGAGTACACAAATTCTTAGGAAAATAATAGGCTTCTTGGGTAGGACCACGTGAAATAGCTGACATCACTAATAGTGAAGTACATTATTTAACATTTCTTAATGCATTTGTATCATGCTCCATTCACCTGTTTTTCATTTTGGAGATCAGTGCAACAGCAACAAAAATAATAGTGCGTGTTTGTTTAAGCTACCTTGGTCTGGTACCTTGTGATACTGCGGTTCCGTTAAAAACTTTTTCAAAATACTGAACATAGAAGCTAATACTTACCTTTGGTGTATCCATTCATTAGACTGTCTTACGTTGCTCTTGTTTCTGTAACAATTCATTTCAGGTGGAGTTTATCCAGAAATTTTCCCCGAAAGAACCAGGAAATCTGCTTCTGTGGCAGTACATTTCCTTTCAGGCATTACCTGCTGATCTTAGGCGACAGACCGCCCGCGAGGTCAGCAGGGTGTGCACCGCGCAGTGCAGGGAGTGGCTAGGCAGCAGTCGCACGGTGGGGGAGCTGGAGTCTCTGGTAAGAAAACTTTGATGGCTTTGATTCATTCAGCAGCTGTTTATTAAGCACTGTTTAAGTTTCTGGGGCTGTGTTGTTAAACAGACAGACACAGTCGTACCCTTAGGTTAGAATCTAGCAAGAGTTTCAGATCTCTACATTGTAAGAGTCTATGAGAAACATAGTATTATTATCTTGATTGACGTAAATTATATTTGGGGGAGGGTGTCTGTAACCCAAGACACGTTGGAACATCATGAAACACACGAAATACTTTATTGGTAGTATTTTTGCTGACATATCTCCGGGTTAGGCAGAAACGATTCTTCTATTTACTGTACAGCCTTTATTTTATGCAAACCTGTTCTGAGCCTTTATGTACCTTTCTGTTTAGAATGTTCCTTACTAAAATAAGGTGAATTTCTTTTTTATTCCATATCAGTTAAAAAAAAGTTTTTAAAAACTGACTGAATATAGTACACGTAGTTGAGTATTTATTTGCTCATTCTTTTATCCATTCATTCATTCAGCATAATTTGAGTGCTCGAATGTGCCAAGTTCTGTCTGAGGCATCGGGGATATATCAGGGAACTAAACAAACAAAAATTCCTATTCTCATGGACTTACATTCTAGCTTAGCTGTGGACAGAGAAGTTTATATATATATATATATATATATATACAAACATACACACATATATATATGTATATACATATCAGTGTGTTGTAAGTAGGAAAAAATCAAGTGAGGATGGGGACAGGGCATTCAAGGGGCTAGGGCCTATTTGCAATTTTAAAGTTCAGAGTTTTCTCAGGGCTTCTGTTTCTATACTGAGTATAAATGTTCTGATACTCTTACATAATGGACCTTGACCTTAATCATCAGGATAATTTAAAACATTTACATATATTCAAAAAGAAATTTTTAATGTGTATTTTGGAAAAGCTGTTAAATGCCTAGGTAGGAGTAGGTGAGATTGTTCAGATTTTGCCTTATTGTGCACGAATTTCTATAGTAAAGACAAAGTCTTTTGTATCAGATAAAAGCACCTATTTTCTAAAATTTAATAAATCTTCACTCTGTAACCAAGACTTCAGTTCAGCAGGTCATTTAACCTGTTTATTTGTAAAAGAAAATAGGTAAATCATAAATTAAAAGCAGTATGGTAATTACATAAATTTAAATGTGTTTGTTGAAGTATAACAGATTAAAGACAAAGTTACTGATCATTACATTCTCATGTGGCCTCCCTTTACTCGAACCACACCCCAGCCAACCCCATTCCTGGCCAGAGACATGATACAGAGAGTGAATCCAAGAAAGATTGTTTTTAGTTTCAAACTGTAGATAGTGTACTTCTTAAATAAAATATTTGCTTATTGAATGCAGAGTTGCTGAGAAATTTTAAAGATTAATTATAAAACAATAGCAATAATAACGTAACTTTAGAAGATTGCTAAGCATAATGTAAAAAAAAAAGTTTTAGTTGATGAATATTATAAAATTAGCCTGACCATACTGACCATTTGCTACAAGCCTATTTATTAAAACATGATGCTGTTTCCATTTCATTAAATTTTCAGACTTTTAAAAGGGAAAATGAATGTTTATTTAGAAAAATGAAGCTAATGTTTCTGTGTATAAGGAAAACTGGTTTTAGCCAAATACACATGTACTAAGGAAATAGCTGAAAAGATGGCTTTGGGTCTTAGAAATATAATTCTGTATGGGTTTTATGAAGAGTTATGAGTAACTCTTAACCTCCAGGTAATTGGCTCCAGCATCTGTAGGCTGGTATCCGAACTCTGTCCTTTCCCTGTCTCTCCCCCTTAGAACACGGTGCTCTCTGCTTTGCTTACTGTGTGTAATTCTGCTGGGGAAGCTTTGGATATTGGACAACAAACTGCAGTTACGGAAGTCGGGAGTCAGCTTTGGGCTCTTTTAAACGTTAAACTGGTAAGGAAAGCAACAGATCGTTTCCCTGAAGAAGAAATAAAATATTGAAAAAAGAATAAGTACTGAAGTGTCCCTGTCGAATAAAAAGTATGTGATTTCTTTAGGTGCTGGTCATACTTGTGATTAGAACTTAAAATACCTATTTGTGCTCTTTCAGCCAGTTCTTCTTAAGAGTATGGTAGAATTAGATTAGTAAAACTAGATCCTGGTAAAGCAGCTGTGACAGTCCAGCTAACTATTATCAAGACCGGTTGGACCCCATTTTCCCCTGTTTTCTTCTCTCTTTGGTTAGTGTAGCCTGTTTCTGTCGATTCCATGGTCCTTTATAACATGTTTTGGGCAGTGGAGAGTGATCTGGGGCAACTGAAAGGGTGAGGCTAATTTGTATTCGTTTCCCCAGCAAAGCCAAAGAGCCACGTGATGATCAGTGTAGAGGTAGAATGTGGTCCACAGATTATTGTGATTTAAAAATCATATTTAGTTAATATCGAAATATGACATTTAAATAGAAATAAACGTGTGACGCCTGGTTGTCCCAGCCAATGGAAGCTGAAGGCAACATTCACACTTTTGAGAAATCATAGAAATGTCTTTGCAGGTGAAGTTTTATCATTAAAGTTTATGTATGGTCGGATTTCCCTACTGCAGCATTTTGACGTCAACAAGTACTTTCCCCTGACCTCATAAGTCATTCAGTAAATGATCACTGAGGGCCTGTCTGCTGGTGATATAGAGCTTACAATATCATGATAGAAACAACAGTTATGGAGAGGAGAAATGGAAATTTAAGAAGACTAAGGAATATGCAGGCTTTTCAGTAGCAGACAGATCTCCATCCAAGTTAAATCCGGATTTGAATCGTGGCTTTGCTTTTTCTTAGCCGTGTGATCTAGAGTAAATCATTTAACTTCTTGGCCCTTTTTTCTTATTTGTAAAGTGAGGGAAGTAATATCTACCTCATAGAATTAGAAGAAATGAGGTAATAAATATAAAGTGCTTAGTATATTGCCTGGTATAAATATAATAAATGCTATTCTCATATAATTGAACATTATTACCAAAATTATTTTGTGCTTTTTATTTAAGGTAACAGGTCAACCTTACGTTCAACAGACACTCAGCCTTTTACTTCCACTATTGGGATTTTTCATTCAAACTCTAGATCTTCAGCTGATAAGTCAGGTAAGAAATAGCAAGTTGGTACTTTGCTGAGGAAGTTGTTAAACTAGTATCACTTAAAATAACTTTCTGGGAAGTCCTTTCTAATGATTTGTTGCTCAGTTTGCTTGTTACCCTTTCTTGTTGAGCTGAACATATAAATGTGACAGATGTGCTTGTCCAAGGATATCTCATTTCTTCTGTCTTTCTCCTAGTAGGGTTTTGTTAGTATACTGGGCTGGTAATTCAGCCTTTATCTGTTTCTTCTCTGTCTCCTGATACTAAATAGTCAAAGCTTTTTCATTGTTGCTATTAACACTCAAGAAAAATCCCCGAGGTTAGGAGTCCTAGTACACATGTGAGCTTTACAGTGGTAGCATTTTCAGAGGCGTGTCAGTAGCTGTGGAAGTGTGGTATAAAACCAGTGTGGGCTTAAGGACAATCCTCATTGTTTCTTTGAAGAAGTAAGATGACTGAAGAGCACTGCTGAGTTTTCTCTCTGGCCTCAGTGTGTGGCAGGGCCGGGCAGAACCGGCCACTGGGGGATCCCTGTGGTGTTGCCTCAGGTGTGCCCCGCTTTCGGAGGCTCTAAGCGATTGAGAGAGAGGTAAGAGGGGAAAGACCTTCATCTTACCTGAAGTGGTTTGAGGCCTTGGAATGAGTCCATACTGAACAGACTGGATCCCCCAATTCAGGAGTTGGCTTTAGCTTCCGGTCACACAGGAAACAGACTGTCATGAGGTAAAGCTAACCCCTCCCAGGGAGCAAGGGCATGGAAGACGTAGTGCCCTGTCACAGCATGTCGACAGTGAAGTGAGCGATGCTTCGCTTTTAGTAGGTCTGATGAGTGGTTGTGTACATCAGGAATTTAGCATCAATCAGTATTTACTAATTAGGCATATTTTAAATTATACGTGTGTCATGGATTACTAAAGAGAATGAGAATACAGTAAAATAATTGACTCAAATTAACGTTGATCCTGAAGATTCTAATATTCTTTTCTGAAAAATTAAATACTGATAGTTTTGATGTAATTGTGCCTACCTTTAAAAAAAAAACCAAATAACTAACATTCTAAAATTTCAACATAAGTAAATTGTTCATTTAGACATTGCTTCCTTTGTAGCAAACTATCTCAGCAGGGAGGGTATAGCTCAGTGGTAGAGTGCGTTCTTAGCATGCACGAGGTCCTGGGTTCAATCCCCAGTACTTTCACTAAATAAATAAATAAACCTAATTACCCCCACCCAGAAAAAGAAAGTTAATCAAATAATGTGGGGGGGAAAAAAGACAATCTTAGTGTTCTTTTAAACTAGAGGTTGGTAACACTGTGGCCTCCTGGCTAGAAGCTGCTTTCCTGCTTTCAGCACAAGAGCAAAGGATGATTTTTACTTTTCAAAGGTTAAGGGAAAAAAAACGAATTTGCAACAAGGAACATGGGAACATGTTGCCTGCAAAGCCTAAAATATTTACCATCTGGCGCTTTGTAGAAAAGGCCAACCCATGCTTTAAGTAATGAACTTTTTTCTCTAGAATTTAAAATATAAAATAATGTTTAAAGACTTGAAAGAAGAGTACTGGTACATAGTTTTTCAGGAACATGTGGATTTCTTTTTTTTTTTTTTTTTTTTTAATACAGTGGTTGGCAGGACAAATGCTGTAAAAATGGACTCACTTTATTTTATTCAGATTCTACCTGTGAAGTTTAGGCTCTGTGGAGTGTTCAGCTGTTCTGGGTTTGGTTTGATTTCCCCTTCCATGTATCCGTCAAGTCTCAGGCATGTCTCTACAGAACATTTGTTTTCATTTATAACTGTTCTTTGGTCTTTGCCCCCTTTAGGTGGTCACTTTGCAGAACTCACTACTTAAACTAGAGCCTCCCGACCACGTGCGTTTGGCAGTGCTTGATTTTGTATCCTCTGTAGGAAAACTTTTTATACCTCAGGCTATGCAGGTAATACCCTCTTAATGTTGTTCCCATGCTAACAAAATCTCCTAAGAATTACTAAGGGATTTTTAGGCTTTAGTTTCTGGAATTCTGTGGATTTTTGACAATGAAAATTGAGGGGGGAATATAAAATGTATTTTGTGAAGAGAGGGTGACTGTCAAAATAGAACTCGTTTTCTTTCAGAAAAATGTATGTTGACATACAAGTAATTCATAGCGTTTGCTGCAGTGTGAGAGTCGTTCCACGTGGGCTCTAGCACACAGAGTTCCCGAGGAAGGAAGTCATATTCATGTCTTCTAGGGAGCAGCGTACAGTGAGGAAATAGGGTAATTTATCAAAATTATTCTCTTGGTTTTATATCCATCAGAGTGAACCTGTTTGTTTTTTAAGACAATATTTTTAAAAATGTTGCAAAGTATACATAGTCAACAAATGGATATTTATTTATAAAAAGAACCCTGCTAATACACTTCTGCTGAATTTTAAGACATACTTCACAGCAAAAGGAAGTCCTCCTCCTAAATTGCGTTTTGCCTTATTACTGTGGTTAAAACGATTCTAGACAGTTGACTCTGCCCCACCTCCACGGGAGATACTGTAGAGTTCACTGATGAGAACTTTTTATGTAACTGCAACAAAAACATGATGGATGGACATTATCTCAGTACATGCTGATTAAAATCTTTGAAACCAAAAATTTAACCAGTTAGTTTCTAAAGGGTTTTCTTACTTACCAGGAAATAATACCATACTGTATGTTTTCATCATGTACGTTTGTTTCATGAGACACTGTAGACTTGATAGCTTCTTTTCAATTCTCTGGACAAAAGTACTCAGATACTTGCATTTGAGCTATCTTCATTTTAGCATAAAATAAATGTATTCCTAATGTTGCTTCATTAGTGCACAGCCACGGACCCTGATGGGCCCGGAACTCAGGGAACAAATGTTTTATTAGCAGGAATTACCTTACATATTCCCAGGAATGAAGTTAAGGTCTGAAGAAATGTAAGAGGCACTTTAAAGCCATGAGACGGGTTGACTTAGTAAATTGAGTTCTTGCTGTGTGTCCGGCACTGCTTTAACCACTGGGGCTCGGTAATGAACTAAGCTCACGCCCGCCCTCAGCCTGCCGGGAGCTGCAGACAGTCAAGCGCTGACACGGGTCGCACGTGAAATGGTGGTGAGCGCTACGGAGAGAAGCGAAGCAGGCAAGGGGAGAAAGAATGTGTATGTGCGGGTAGAGTCTTAAGTTGGACTCGGTCAGTGGAGTCCTCAGGTTGTCCTCACATGTCACCTTGCTGAAGCTGAGGGGCAGGCGGCTCCCGAGCAGGGGAGAGTGAGTGAGGGTCCTGTGGGGAGCGCCTGGCACACCGAGCGCAGCCAACGCAGAGCTCGTGGGGCTTGGCAGGCACGCTCTGAGGGAGTGGGAAGCTGCCTTCAGAAGGACCTGAACAAAGGAGTGACGTGACCAGACAGGTTTTATGACGTGTTCACTGGGACAGAATTATGGACACTTGACAATGTCACAATAATGAATGTACTCTGCTTTAGTTTTCTTCTACTTATTAAGGTTTGGTTCTCTTTTTAGGACAAAATTCTGCCCAACCTGTCTTCTATTTTTGCCTCACTGCTGGCTGACAGGAACTGGTTACTAGAACAACATACCTTGGAGGCATTCACTCAGTTTGCAGAGGTAATTAGAAGGCCGATCAATCAGTGACCTCTAAAATATTTTAGTATTTCAAATTTTCCAAAACAAACTATTTTTGTATCTTAGTCAGAGTTTTGTGCTGGAGGAGATATTACTAGTCGTCTGGTAATTGCTCCTTCCTCTTACCCACTGTCATGCAAGCCATGCCTTTGGTCCTAAGGGAGCCCCGAGACGCCAGGATGACTGGGCGGACGTAGTTCACCCCTGCACTTGTGCAGGGTGTCGTGCTCTGAAAGGCCCTGAAAGAACTATGAGCTTACAGTCTGAGGATCCTCTGGCGCTGATTATTTTAACTAAGGTCATTCTTCAAGCCCATGTACTTGTTTTTGCAAGCTGTTGAAATATATTAACAGTGGTTTTGTTTATCAATCTTCTAATAGGGAACAAATCAGGAAGAGATAGTTCCACTGTGTCTCAGTTCTGAAGAAACAAAGAACAAAGTTGTATCCTTTCTGGAGAAGGTACTGTATTTATATAGAATCAAAACAGTAGTGTAACATATTTTGTTATCATGTTACCTTTTTTGAAATTATAACCAAGTTAAATACCTTTTTAGCTTAAACTTTTCACAGTGCTTACTAGCACAGTGGTGACACGTTACACAGGTGGGACCACATTACAAGTCAGAAATAAAGCACTTGCAGTAACTCTGCCTGTAATTTGGGAGCGTTAGGGCAGTGAGATGACTAACGGGGGTCCTCTGCTTGTTACTGATCTTAATTAGATTCACATGTGGAATCGTAGGCCTGAGAGGGTCATGTTTACTATTTTAATGTAGTCATGGCTTTTCTGCTTCGACGGGACACCAGACCTTCTTTTCCAAATACTGACCAAACTGTTGAATCATAGGGCTCCCGTATTTGTGGGGACAGTGTTAGGATGTAAGTTAAGGGTTCACTGAAGCACCAACAGGACAGTTAAACCACAAATTTACAACGCCAGGAGAAAGTGAATTTAATTCTTGTAAATAATAATCTCATTTTGAACTGGGCTAGTCTTCTATTTACTACTTACATATACGCACAGGTTACATGTAAGCTGGACCTAAGTGCGTGTGTGTCCATGTTGCTTATGCCAGTTCCCCCCCGATTCAGTAAAGGCCAGCAGACTCATTTTTTTCTGGAAAGACGACACTACCACTTTTCTGTAAGGAAGGAGAACACTGTAGAATAATTTTACCCAAATTACACTAAGGATACATTTACAGGTGAGTCCAACTTCCAGAATTTGCCTGGTTCACAGGCTAAGCCAGAACAGCTTAACACTTGGCTCTTCAGCACACAAGCTTTGGCCCTTTCACTTCTTGAACATCACAGCGTTCTGTACTAGGACCAAAATGGTAACATGTTGATTTTTCACTTGGTTTTTCATGCTCTCTGGCAGACGGGGTTTGTAGATGAAACTGCAGATGCCCGAGTGGAACGTATCAAACAGGAGAAAGGTATTTTCTGGGAGCCCTTTGCTAAAGTTACTGTGGAAGAAGCAAAGTGGTCATCTTTACAGGTACGGACTGCTTGTCAGTGTGGGTCAGGCTTTAAATAAGACATTCTGCCCTTCTACCTACTGATAAAAGTACAACAAGCGTGGCTCTCGGCCTCATATTGAATATCAAGATAATCAAACAGATCTAGACACGTAAAGTCCTTTTTTATAGCGAGTGCTCTTTTAAAAGTCACATGTCTTCCTAAAAGGCTATCAATACACAGAACAGATGGGACTACAAAAAAGGTTTAAACTTCATACTAAATAGACTCTAACTTTCAGTTATTTGTAGTAACCTTTGGAAAAGTTACGTGTTTGTACCAGTGATGCTACAAATGCAAGTTTCAAAACCAATTAACCTTTTTTCCAAAATGTTTAGTTTGCTCCCTTGCCTCATTCATCAAACCAGCCTAAGAATTTCTGGCGTTGTCTAGAAACCATGTCTACCTATTAAAAGGGAGAAATCTGACACTGCTAAGGATATTCAAGATTGTTTTGAGCACTAATAGTATGTGCGGAATGGTAATCTCTAAGGGGAATAACGTTCTGGTAAATTTTAGTTACAACTCTTACAAAAACCAGTAACTTGTTTTCAAGACATGTAACTTTTATGCCTGAAATCTATAAAGTTAAATATATCATTAGTGTTATGTAAGCCCTCAAGAGTATATATTATGACCTTCGTTAGGAAGATAAGGATTATAAAAACTGTCTTGGCCCCAACCCTTCCTCTCCCTCCTGGTGCAATGATGTTAGAAAGCCTGACAGTTTACTTAAGTGGCTCAAAAGCATTATTATAAACTTAGCGTTAAAAAGGAAATAGGAAACGTTCAGAAAATTCATACTTGGGCTTTTTGTAAGGACAGATCACATGTCTAAAGAATACCCACTGGAAGCTACCAGACAAGGCAGCACTTCTTAGTCTCCTCGGACCTTGAGCACTGATGGTAGTGCCCCGAACCCCTGTGACAGAGCAAAAATGCCTTCACTTCTCTCCAGATGATTGCAGGGGGAGGGTGCCCTTCAGCCCTTGTGAACCATAAAATTTTCATGTAAAACGTGGAAAGGTCTTTAATCATTTTGGAATGGTACCATGGCATCACTCACCACGTTGTTCTCATTTGCCAGCCTTACGCAAAGAGAGCCCGTCACGAGCTCCCCGTGGAAGAAGAGTACAGGGCAGCAGTGCAGGCGGCGGCAAGGGCCTTGGGGGCAATTGAGTCATTACTCCAGCAGTCCGTTCCCCCAGACTGGCTTCTAACAGAAATGGAGGCGCTCCACGAAAGGATCGACGAGCTAAAACGCCATGTGGTTTAAGGTGACATGTGAGTGGACTGGACCACATTAGCACCAGATAGAGTTGGATATCATTTTTCGTCATCCTGCAATAGATTCTTTAAGTGAAAATATTGATGTAATTATGTCTGTATATTTTCTAACACATAAAACAACTTTTGTAAAGTTGAATCTAATGAAAATAGTCTTTATTGGACATTAAGGGAACAGGATTGTGGGGGTATTTCTCATTAAGAACTTTGGTACAAGGTAACACAGGTGGAACAGTCAGTAACTGCCCCGGTCCCCACAGGGCCACTCATTCAGATAGCACATCTGTAAACAAATAAATAAGCTGCCTAAGGGAACCTCAGCAATTTAAAGTCATTTCCATACTCTACAGCTAAAATATCTTCAGTAGGTTTCATAATAGAGCTTACTCTTCTGACAAAGAAATGGCACAAAATTAAGCTAATCAGCTTGGATTTTTCTATTTATTTTCTTTACGTCTGGAATTGTTCTGGAAAAAAAAGCAGTAAATTCAACCTTTCCACAGCCACTTGCTCTTCACAGAAACTGGCCTTAGTCGGACGCACAGGCTCGTCCTCTGAGGAGGGCTGGGAACCTCCTGCCGCCCAGGGCTTCCCGCCAGCACGCCACGTCTCACGCTTCCATTGGCACAGACTGGAAAAAGAGCTCCTGGTATGAGAAAAACAGGATGCTTTGGGGTTTTCTTGTCTGCAGAGCCTGCTTTTGAGGTATTAGTTTGATTTTTTTTTTTAAAGGAATCCTTTTTCCTAGAGATGAACTCACACCCGTTGTCACCAGTTAGTGTCTTCCCAGTTCAGCTCCCCTTCTTCTCCCCAGCCCGCAGACTCTCCCTGCAACAAGATAAAGCAAACCAAGGGCAACCTGCTCAAACAACTCATGTTCAGACTAGAAAGATCAGGAATTTTAAAGGGGCCCAAAACGTGTCTAAAAGACATCTCCTCGTGTAAAAACTACTGTAACAGGAAGCTGAAAGGATTACCCTGGTTCTAGCAGTACACTGGAAAATAACTTTCCAGTGACCACATAATCATTAAGATCAGTCTGATGACACCACATTCTTGGTTTAATCCCCCTCTCCAAATAAAAAGGTTATTGCAGTAAGTGGCCCGTTAAACACTTAGGCCAAGCACTGCTGCATTTTTCCAAGGAAGGAAAGATGCCGTTTACAGGACCTGAGTTTATTCATTTTACGCTTGACCATTGTACCTAGTTGTGTACATCAGTCTTTTCTCTCACTAGAACAGCACGTCACCTGTTATAAATGGGACAGTGCACCTGGCAGCTACGCGGGAGGTCCTTAAACGCGCACGGCACAGTGCAGTGATCCTTACCTCGGTCATTTCTGCTGCAGCAAATTTTGAGGAAAACTGCAACACTGAGGAGACATGCTCCCTAGTGGGAACCATCACTTCCATCGCTTCTGTCCTCAGCCCAGGTAGGACAAGAGCAGCCGTGGAAGGCTTAATGTCTGGGGTCATGTCAGCAAACCAGTCCAGCTCAGGGTCTCTTACTGGCTTCTTCTTTACCTGAATGGTAAACTCCTCTCCTAAGCCAAGTTCTGATGGAACCTTAGGGCGCCTGTCTTGTGACGACACTTTTGTTGGCCTGGTTTGGTGTGGGTCATCCCTGCACTGTGCAAGGCCGGTCTTTTGCGGTGGGCTTGACTTCAAAGGCTTGGCCTCTTCAGTAAGTGGAAGCGAAGTCGGAATGGCCTTGTGCTCCCCTGAGGTAATAGGTCTTATAGCCGTGGTTCCACCTTCCGGAGTTATTTCAGTGTCTAAGCCGCTGGGCTCAAAGTCATCCCAAGTCTCCTCCTCGTCCACACTCACGTTGGTGCGTGGGGGCATGGCAGCGGCCCAGGGCTCTGTGGGACAGACCTGGAGGCTGGCGGCTTTGTTCTCGGGCTCCTCGGGGTCGCTCCAGTCAGGCCAGTCCTCAGACTTTTTAGAACTTGATGGGAACTTCTCACTGTCTCCTGAGGTAATTTTCAAATCCGAGATTCCATTAATGGGAAATTTAATCGGCTGAGAAAATTGATTGCCTGTGGGGGGATAAGTACAAGAATCATTCTCATAAGAAGTTGGTTAAGAGCAAGCAATATATTTAGGAGCAAGTTGACACTAAAGACTCCTTGGAAATAGCCGTGATACAAAAAATGAGAGATCCCAGCAATACATAACAAAGGTGTGACGTAAGTTAAACAGACATTTAAATTGTAATTCAATGGAAGCATAGCAAGCAACAACTGGAGCACATAATCCTTTACTAAATATTCAAACATACTATTTTGTTGGCATAACTGTCTATAAACAAACACAGAAATGTTCTAAGCCAGGCAGCATTACCCTCGAGATGTGAATTACATACATCCTGAAAAAGCATCGTGTGCTCAAGTAAGTTTGCCTAACCCAACATATCCTCATTCTAAACAGATTTTCTTAAGTGTAGTCCAAGTCACTGAGTCTTGTGCAGTGTGTTCTGACTCTGCTAAGTTCCCCAAACTTACTTAACCATACAGCTCTTTTTTTCATGGTATACCTTTTAACATCTTCCAGAATTACCATTCTTTAATACAGTGTGGAAAATGCTACACTAAGGCACCTAAAGTCCCAAAGTAAAGTATCTGGTGCAAAAAATTCAAGTAATGTCAACCTGTTCGTGTGTCAGTTATGAAGAAAAGACAGGTAAATACCCTCTAGTCCAGGGAAAAGAGATGGGCCCCAGCTGACTATGTAATTGTGAGAGAGAAAAGCTTCAGTGTTCCCCAAAGTGCCCTTAAGTTTCAGAGCTTATTACTCAGGAGAACATTCCCCCAAGCAGAGGAAAAGCTCTGTAAATTGAGTAACCTACCTGTCTGTAAGAGAGAGTTGTAATAATCTCGCTGTGTGTGCTGCCTGCTCTCCAGGGGCATGCTGCCAGAAAAGAGACACTTGGGGAATACGCTGGAGGAGGGGTTCTCCAGGACCGGCGAGGTCTGACCGCGCTGGCTGCAGACGACGTGCGTAGGGGAATCTGAAGATAGATTAAAACTCAAAAAAATGAAAGGGACAGTAAATTGCTTCTTTTTCTATCACATTAGGTGAGCAACAGTTAAGGGAAAGGGGTATAGTTAACAGAGAGAAAAGATAAGTTGCAGGGAGAGGGCATCTTCAGATATTTGAAGAAACATCTATTACAGAACGGACTGCCTATCCTATGGGCTGAGTGTCCCCGTGGTGGTGACAGGATAGAAGGGCTTCCAGCATTAGGGGAGCAGCTGGAGGAGGCAGAGAACTTTTATAACTAGGTATCCTAAAGGTTTTAACAGCCTTTAAAAACACTTTGGTGGTGATTTAACACCGTAATTGATTCTACTCACCTCCTTTTCAGAATAAAATGAATGTACTTAATGGCACAAAACCATACACTTAAAAATGGTTAAAATGGTAAGCTTTGTGTCATGGGCATTTACCTTCCAACTGGGAAAAGAAAAATATTTTAAGAAAATGTTATCATTAACAGTTTATCAGAAAGTTTATACTAAAGGGTAGGTATTAGTCAGAAGGATCCTAATGAAATTTTTGGCTTAATACTTCCTCTGCCTTAGAAAAGTGAGGGTGGGAGGCACTGAGCCACGTCATCACAGGCCACATCCTGCCTCCTCACACCCCGGCCTGTGCTACAAGTGCCCCACACTCTTGCTTATTTCTTCCACTGTCTCCCCTGCTCAAGTCCTAATTTTTCTTACAAGATACCCCACAACATTCTTACTCTTGACTTTTATAGCCTATAAAGACCAGAAATTAATGCTATTTCCCATGTAACATCCAATGGGAACACACGAGAAGTAAGGATTTTCTTGATTCAAGGAATCAAAGAAGTACCTAAAAATCAGTAGCTTTTCACCAAACAGGCCAGCAAAACCCAAAGAACTTAAACATCTAGTGTTACTGAGAGCTGCCACAACCTTTCTGGAAACTGACAATCTCTATTAAAATTTAAAATATATTCTTTGACTCAGTAAGAAATCCTGAAATGGATGAAAGAGCCATCAACAAGGAAATTGCTGAATTATATTCAATGAAATATTAGGCAGCCATGTACTGACCTGGAGACAGGTCTCTGATAAGCTGCTACACAAAAAAGTCAAGTTGTAGAATTGTGCACAGCATTTTCTCATCACTTTTTGGTTTCTGAATCCTTTATCTGTGTGTGTAAACATACATCTGTGTGTCTTTTTGTGGGCTTAAAAAAAGGGATGAAAGGATTCCCACTAAACCATTAAACTGTTTACCTTAGACTCCCCCCCCCCCCAGAAGGAGTTGGGAGCAGGAAACTACTAGCTGTTTCCTTTTAATTCTCTGTATCACTTGAATACAGTCCATCTGCATTACTTGTATAATGTTAAAAATCTAATACATTAAAACAACAACACTTAAAAGGTAGGCTTTTTAGTCATTCTTACCTTCTGGGGAAAGGTCGATGGTTTTAGTGAAACTTGGGGCAGTGCGTTTGAAGATCTTGGTTCTTTCTCCTCCCACGACCACCTCTGGTCCAAGCAGGGAGACCAGCACTGCTAGGCTGTGAAGAGTAATTGCCACAATGGAATCGCTGGTATCGCGCAGGCCCAGTAACACCTAGGAGTGAATTGGGTCATAAGCGCAGATAACCACATTGTCTGCCTTTTTCTTCCCTGTAAACAGCAGGCAAGCTTCACTCAGACTGTGCTTGCTCAGATGAGCGCCGTTTCTTAGATATGTGTTCTATCTAGGTCAGTAGCTCTCAAACTATCTGTGGTTGAGGGCCAATATTTTCCCCTCCCAATCCATCACAGCCCGATACGTTAAAAAAATACCCCCCCAAATGAAACTAAATAGACAAATACATTGGAGATAACATAGATGATTCTGTTAAGTTGCTATAAAAGGTTTTAGATTTGTGCAGGATGGCTGTTGGCTCCTTCCTCCAACCCAAGGCCAGAGACCTCCCAAGAGCTCAGCACTTCTAAGCCTCCCACACTCAGTATTCCCAGGTGGCCTTCCAAGTACTAACCAAGCTCAAGACTCATCTAAATGAAGCCACAAGAGACCCACTTCAGGTGTAAGGACACAGACAAAACAAAGGAACAGAAAAAAGATGTTCCATACAAATGAAAACCAAAAGCAGGCTGGGGTCACTATATTTGTATCAGACAAAACAGACTTTGAAACAAAGATGGTAGTAAGAGACAAGGGCATTACATGATAACATGAGGATATAACACTTACAGATATCGATGCACCAAACATAGGAGAACCTAAATATATAATGCAAATATTAACAGACCCTAAAGGAGAAATAGAGCAACATAGTAATAGTAGGGGACTCTAATACCCCACTTAGACCAATGGGTAGATCATCCAGACAGGAAATCAGTAAGAAAACACTGGCCTTAAATAACACATTACATGAACTTAATAGATTTATAAAGAATATTCAATCCAAAAGCAACAGAATACACATTCTCCTCAAGTGCACATGGAACATTCTCCAGGAGAGATCACATGTTAAGTCATAAAACAAGTCTTAATAAATTTAAGACTAAGTCATATCAAGCATGTTTTCTGACCCATTCAATGGTGTGAAACAAGAAATCAATTACAAGAAAAAAACTGAAAAATTAAAATACGTGAAGATTAAACAGTATTGTACTGGGTCAAAGAAGAAATCAGAGGATAAATCAAAAACACCTTGAGACAAATAAAAATGGAAGTAAAACACACGGGATGGAGCAAAAGCAGTTCTAAAAGGGAAATTGATAAGAGGGAAATTCCTACCTGAAGAAACAAGAAAAATCCCAAGTAAACAAATGACTCTACACCTCACGAACTAGAAAGAGAGCAAAGGAAACTCAAAGCTGGTAGAAGGAAGGAAATAAATATCAGAGTAGAAATAAATGAAATAGAGACTAAAAAGACAAAAGAAAAAAATGAAGCTAAGTTTTTTTTTTTTCCAAAAGATAAAATTGACAAACCTTTAGGAGACTCAAGAGGAGAGAGGACTCAAAATCAGAAATGAAAGAGGGGGAGGGGACAGCTCAGTGGTACAGCTCATGCTTAGCATGCACAAGGTCCTGGGTTCAAGAAATGACAGAGGACATGTTAAAACTGATGCCACACAAAGGATCACGAGAGGTTACTATGAACAGTTATATTTATGCCAACAAATTTGACAAACCAGAAGTGGAGAGACTCCTAGAAACATACTGCTGACCAATACTAATACTCAAAACAGGAAATCTGAACAGATGGATCATTAGTAAGGAGATGGAATCAGTAACCAAAAACCTACCAACAAACAAAAGTCCAGGAACATAAGGCATCACTGGTGAATTCTACCAAACATTCATTAAAAGAATTAGAACTAATCCTCAAATTCTTCTAAAAAATAGAAGAGAAGGAAACTCATATTAAAAGGCCAGTATTAATTACCCTGATACCAAAACCAGGCAGGGACACCACAAGAAAAGAAAATTACAGGTCAATATCCCTGGTGAATATAGATGCAGAAATTCTCAACAAAATTACAAAACAGAATTCAATACATCAAAAGGTTCATACACCATGATCAAGTGGGATTTATTCCAGTGATGTGGGCACGGTTGAACACCCACAAAATCCATGTAATACACCACGTTAACAAAATAAGAATAAAAATCATGATCTTCTCAATAAATGCAGTAAAAACATCTGACAAAATTCAACATCCATTCATGATAAAAACTCTCAACAACCAAGGAAGGTATAGAGGAAACACACCTCAACATACCAAGGCCACATACGACAAGCCCACAGCTGACATCCCAAAAAGCTGAAAGCCTCTCGAGACCAGGAACACGACAGGGGTGCCCACTCTTGCCACTGTTGCTCAGCACAATAGTGGAAGTCCCACCTCAGCAGTTAGGCAAGAAAAGTAAAGACATTCCAATCAGAAAGTAAGTAAGATGACCACTATTTGCAGATGACTATATATAGAAAGCCCTAAAGACTCCAACAAAAAACTTTTAGAACCAACAAATGAATTCAGTAAAGTCACAGGATATAAAATCAATATACAGAAGTCTGTAGAATTTCTATACACTAATAATGGACTATAAAAAAGAGAAACTAAGAAAACAATCCCATTTACAACTGCATCAAAGAATACCTAGGATTTAACCAAGGAAGTGAAAGACCTATACACTGAAAATTACAGGACATTGATGAAAGAAACTGAAAAGACACAAATAAATGGAAAGGTATTCTGTACTCATGGACTGGAAGAATTAATATTGTTAATAAACTGCCCATACTACCCAAAACGATCAACAGACCCAATTCAATCCCTATTAAAATTGCAGTGGCATTTTTCACAGAAACAGAACCACCCTAAAATTTGTATGAAACCACAAAAGACCCCGAATAGCCAAAGCAATCTTGAGAAAGAACAAAGCTGGAGGAACTATGCTCCCTGATTTCAAACTATTACAAAGCTACAGTAATCAAAACAGTATAGTATTGCCATAAAACAGAAACGTAGGTTAATGGGACAAAATTGAGAGCCCAGAAATAAATCTATCCATATACGGTCAATTAACTTACAATAAAGGAGCCAAATAATATAATGCGGAAAGGACAGTCTATTCAATAAATGGTGCTGTGAAAACTGGACCACTGTCTTACACCATACACAAAAATTAACTCAAAATGGATTAAAAACTTAAATGTAAGACCTGAAACCATAAAACTAGGGGGAAAAAATGAAAAAGCAGTAAGTTCCTTAACCTAGTCTTGGTGATGAGCTTTTGGATCTGACACCAAAAGCAAAGGTTACAAAATCAAATACAAACAATGAGACCGCATCAAACTTAAAAGCTTCTGCATAGTAAAGGAAACCATCAGCAGAATGAAAAGGCAACCTACTGAACAGGAGGAAATATTTGCAAACTGTATATCTGATAAGGGGTTAATATCCAAAATATATAAAAGAACTCAGACAATAGCAAAAACAATTCAATTGAAAAATGGGTTGAAGACATGAAGATGGCCACCAGGTACATGAAAAGATGCTCAACATCATTTAAACATCAGGGGAACGCAAATCAAAACCATAATGAGATACCACCTCACACCTGTTAGAACAGCCTTCATCAAAAAGACAAGAGAGCAAGTGCTGAAGAGTATGTGAGAAAAGGGAACCCTGTGCACTACTGGTGGGAATTTATGCTGGTGCAGCCACTACGGAAAGAGTATGGAGGTTCCTCAAAAATTAGAACTACCACACCACCTGGTGATTCCACTTCTAAGCATTCATCTAAGGGAAAGAAATAGTAACTCAAAAAGATACATGCACCCCCATGTTCACTGCAACATTATTTACAATAGCCATGAAATGGAAACAACTTTTAAGTGTCTATCGATGGATGAACGGATAAAAATTTTGCACACACACACAATGTGTGCACACAAACACAAGAAAATTATTCAGCCACAAAAAAATAAAATCTTGCCATTTGCAACATGGATGGACGTTGAGGGCATTATGCTATGCTAAGTAAAATCAGTCAGACATAGAAAGACAAACACCATATGATCCCACTCATACGTGGAGGGAGTGGAGGAACAGACCAAAACAAGCTCATAGGCACAAGGAACAGGCTGGTGCTTGCCAGGGGTTGAAGTGAGGACGAGGGAGGGGACAAAAGGGGTGAAGGCGGTCACAAGGCACAAACTTCCCGCTATTAAGTAAGTCGGAGATGTACAGTAGGATGACTGTCGTGAACAGCACTGTACTGCACATTTCAGGGTTGCTGAGAGAGGAATCCTTAAAAGTTCTCATAAAAAAGAAAAAAGAATTGTAATTCTGTATGGTTAATGTTAACTAGGCTTATTGTGGTGATCATCTGCAATATATATAAATACTGACTCATTCTGTTGTATACCTAAGACTAATGTAATGTCGTATGTTGATTATGTACCTCAATTTAAAAAAAAAGGTTTTAAATATTAGTTTTCCATATCTGTACTCACCTCATTGCAGAACCACAGCAAACAGTTCAGAGACTGGCCACGTTATGCAGGGCACACTTAGAAACACCCAGCTGGTCCCAGTCCCTGGCCTCTTCTCAGCCTTGCACACCCCACCCACAAAGACAGGACCTTGAAAACTTTCTTTATATCTGATGCATATGACACCTGCCCCAAACTAAGCCAATTATGATCTCTCTTCCTGGAGAGGATAATAAAAACCGGAATTCAGAGAAACTGGTTATCTCTGTGGTTTGCTTAAAATGAGGACAAGAAGCCTGGAGACTATGGGACAACCATGTATGGCCATGTGTACACCAAATAATGAAAGCTGATCTTCAAGAGTTGAAAGTGGAACAGATGTAGAGAAAGGAAAAGAATGAAGGCCACACGGCTGAGTCCCAGCTGCACTTGATTTCCATGCACGGCAGACTGACATCCTTTCATTGAAGTTTTTTTTTTTTTTTTTTTTTGCTTTAGCTCATTTAAGTGCGTTTCTGTTACCTGCAACCAGAAGAACCCTAAGACGCTCACATGGAGACATTAGGAGAGGTTTTGCTCTGAGCTGGCACATGTACATAAGGAGGCAGAGCATCTGCACCAGCCAGACTCAAGGCCAGGACGACTGGCCTGCCTGGTGGAGGCAGCCGGACACCCCGGGTATCAGGAACCCCGGGTTCTGGTCTGTACTCCACCAGGAATTCTTACTGTGACTTGACCAATAAATCGCTTCGTTTTTCTGGTCCTGTCTCCTCATTTGTCTAAGATGAAGGCTTCCAAAAGGACCCAATGCTAACAAAACTGTACAAGTAAACTAAAACGTTTGTTTTTGTTTTTTTGCATATGGTTGGAATTCTATGAGATGAATACAGTAATCATAAAATAGCAAACCATCCAAGCCAAAAATCCAAGAGTCATCCTCAGACCTCACCCATCCGCTGAGAAACCCAGCCCCACCCCTCTAACCTCCCCATTCGTCCCTCTCCCATAACCCCTGCCACTGCGTTTCCCCCAGTCTTTGTCATCTCTTAGCAGGACCATTCTAATAGCTTCTGAGCTGATCCCCCTTGCTGCACAGTCCACCTTCCACACTCTCACCAAAGTGAACGCAGGAGACGAGCCAAGTCATTCCCCTCCGGGGAAGGCGCTCCAGTGAGAGCGTTCATGGCCTTTCACATGCTGAACGTCAACTGATCATGTGACCTCAGCTCAGCACCGATTCTGAGACCTGTGATGGCTCCTCTCCTGCAGAGTTAGGAGGACTTTGTTCCTCTTTTGAATTTTCAGACACAACCAACCACATACAGGGTAAGAACTGCTGCCCCAGATGTGAAGCGCAGCGCTAAGCTGTGGTAGCTCAACTCTGAACCCCCACCACGGGGAACCTGGGCTGACAGCTTTGCCTCACTGTAACCGAGAGAACATGGTAGAAGTGGTGTCAGTTCCCAACCCATGCCGTGGGAGCTGGGCGGCGGTGGAGGAAGTCCACCCACCCTGCCGGAGAAGTGTGGCCATGTCACATCGGGAGACAGAGGCCCCAAGATATCCTGAGACTTCACAGCAAGAGAGGCCCAGCTGTCCCAGCGTCCCAGCCCAGCCTTTCAGTCAGCCCCTCCCCCCCCGCCAAGGTGCCGAGGTGCCGTTCTGAACGTCAGCCTTTAGGGGGCGCCCAGTGACGGCTGCCTCAGCTGACTCTCCTGGAAGACAGCCCCCAAGCTGAGCCCAGGCAAGCCTGTTATTTCCCAACTACTAGCTCCTTGAAAGCAGGGTGTGCGTTACATCCCTCCATGGCCCCAGTACCAAGGCACAAGAACCGGCGTAAAACCAGGCCTTCCAATTATTAAATCAGTAAATCTCACAGGAAAACAAATTATCTGAAAAACACCGTATGATTGACAAAATCTCAAACCTTGTACTGAGTTGAATAGTGTCTCCCCTGAATTCATGTCCACCCAAAATGTGACCTTAAAATGAGGTCATACTGGATTAGGGTGACCCCAAACCCAATGACTGATGTCCTTATAAAAATGCCACTTGACAAGAGAAGCAGAAGTTGGGGTGACACAGCTACAAGCCGAGAAACCCCAAGGACTGCCGGGAGCTCCCAGAGCTAAGAAGGAGGTAAGGGAAGATTCTCCTCTGGAGCCTTCACGGGGAGCCCTGCTGACCCGAGCTGGGACTTCCCACCTTGGAACCAAGATTGAACAGATTTCTGTTGTTTTAAGCCACGCAGCTTGTGGCAATTTGTTACAACAGCCACAGGAAACCAATAAAACCTGGAGCCCTGGGAGGGCCAAGCCTCAACGCTCCCTGGGGCTGAGCAGCAGGCTGAAACCACCGCCAGGGCTCCTCTCACGCTCCTCTCCGTGAGAATTTAGTTATTTATAGTGATTTCACTGACACTCGCAGTTCGTGTTCACAAAGCCCACCAGTGAGTCTTGTTAGTTTTACCCAAAGAATTAGCAAACAGAGTCAGCGTTTTTCAGGTTATACACAGGGTAAGACCAAATACATTTGTTTAGCTGACTTGCCTCTGCGTCTGGACTGGAAACGCAATTTTCACTCCAGCCCTTCGGATCCCAGGAGGCCTCAGGCCCCCCAGTCACAGCGCCGGCCCCGCCCCAGGCCCCAACCCGGGCCTGACCCGCTGACCTGGGGCAGGATGACCTTCTTCAGCTGCTCCTGAGTGAAGTGCTCCACGTAGGCCTCCAGTGGGACAGCAGCACCATCCGCACGTGCTCCTCGTGCACCTCAAACAGCCGCAGCAGCACGGGGACCACGCGCGACTGGAACAGGGCCGGTGAGAGCAGGCAAGGGGTCTCCCCCCGCGCATGCTCTTCCCCCAGATCAGATGGAGAAACAAACCGTCACGTCAGCGGAAGGAGCGCCAAGCATAACGCGCACGCTGAGCCCAGAACGTCATACACGCTCTGAGCACTGTTCTGAGTCCTCCTGTCCCAAACCAGAGGGAAGTGCCGCTGTTGGCCCCAAGTGACTCAAGGCTCAATTACCTCGTCACACTCCACCTTGTGGACGTGTTTCTGAAACACTAACACTTAATGTACTACAAAGAAAACATGTTTTTAATGAATCCTGAATCAATAGCTTCTTATACATTTATGTCTAATCAGTGAGGGACTTCACAGAGTAGAGTCAACTGATGCTGCTAATGCAATTTTATCCGCAAAGTCAGGCGGTGTCACGTGCCACAGCGGGAGCCGGAGCTGGGCAGTCCCCTCTCCTAGCAGTTACAGCAGGTATTAACCAGAGGCCTGCCTCAGAATCACCTGGGGACCCCTGAAAATACACACGCACCCCGTCCTGGCTCTGACCCGGAACCGGTGGATCAAGCACACAGGCCAGCGTTCAAAAAGCTCCCCAGGTGGTTCAGATCATCACGCAGTGATCTCACACTGCTCAAATCTGAACTAATTAATCCCCAAACTCCTTAATAACCAGTAACCCTTTGAAAAAAATTCACCTTTTTTGGGACCAAGGAGATAAGGAAGGAAACTCTTAACAGCTACTGGCTCTGCGAAGACCAGCTGGTTCAGCAGGAGAGGCACCAGCCGCGAAGCTATCAGCTCCTCTGACAGGCAGCCGACTCTGTCCAGCAGGAGCCTGAGGGCAGAGGGGGAGAGCCCGGGAAACGGCTGTGACGGTGCATCTGCTCACCTGCCCCGCCAGGACTCGCGTGGCCTTCCCCGCTCCCACCGCTGAGGAGCCTGCCCCACGGCTGGGGAACGCAGACGGGTCAGCCCCCAAGTATTTAAGAAAAAATGTAGAAGGTGTGAGGCAAGGCCAGCTAGTCAGCACACACACAACCTCCAATCCAGGTGTAGGACCCCCAACAGCGAGCCTTCTCCCCCAGGGCCACGCACCCCGGTGCCCCAGCACGACGGCAGCCTCAGCCCCTCCCCACTCCCCCGCCAGCTCCGTTCCCTCAGCCCATGAACGTGCTCACATCTCCCATCCTTAAAAAACATCCTTCCTTGACTCCACTTCCTTCTTCAGCAATTCTATGTCCTCTCTTCTCCGAACTTTTCACGAGGTTTTACCTAACAAAGTCCACTTGCTCACCTTTCTCCCACATCTCAGTTCACTGCAGTGTGACTCTCTGCTGAAACGGCTCTTGCTAAGACAAGGCTACCAGCGCGCTCCCGCCTGCTGAGTGAGCAGGGACTGTCCATGCCATCTTCCTGAGACTCTGCTCCCCTGGAGTACCAGCCTCCCCGGCTCTCTGGACCTCCTCTAACCACTGCTTCTGTCCCATGCATCCACACTCCCTCCCCAATGCTCCCCTAAAGGCTGGGTGCCCCAGGTTACATTTGGGCCCCTGTTCTTTTCATGCCACCCACTCTGGGAAAATGTTACCAACTGTGGACTGATGAACCCAAATATTCACCATCATTAAGCTCATCAGCTTACAACTTCTCTCCTGAGTTTCACATACATCTCTGCCTCAAGGCCCACAGCCACTTCAAACCAACACACCCAACACCAAATTCTTCATCTTCCCTGCACACAGGTCCTCCCCTCCAGGATTCTCTCTTTTGGTCACAGTCACTAAGGCTTGCCAAGTTTATGTTCTAATACTTCTGTCCGTGTCTCCTGCACTGCACCATCACTACCCTCGCTGAGGCCTCACACCTACTGCCTGACTGCCACGGTCTACCAGCCACCCCCAGTCTTCTGTGAAATAAACCTGCGTCCTCGGCCATCAACACGGTGATCCGCCCAAGGGGGCACGTCACCATTCCACAGCCTGCTTTCACTCCTTGGATGGCTTCAAGGCCTGAAGTCCACTGCTCACCACCAGTGTCAACAGCCTCACTGCCACAACAAGGGTGCCCACACCTCCCCTGACCCTGCCTGGGACTTGCCCTCCAACAGGAGCTGAGTGCTCATCATTCCACGAACAAGACACGCCGCGTCCCGCCTCTGTGCCCTGTTCGTGCTGCCCCTCTGCCCAGAACACCTTCTCTCTACCCACCTCCTCCCCAGTCCTCTGTGTTCTCTGTCACTATCCATCCCTAGGGCCTGGCAGACAGCCTGCCATGTAAGAAATGTCACTAAACTTCGTTCAGGAAACCACAGGCCTGACTCGTCCTCGCTGGGACACCTAGAGTGGTTACGTGGACTTAATCCAAGTGACTGAATTTTCAGGTCTGAACTCTGTGAACTTACTTGAAGAATTCAGTTTTTTCCTCTTCACTCTTCAGTGTTAAACTTTTCAAGAAATTCACAACTTCTAGAAAATCATTCCTAAATGCCAAAAATAAATAAATAAATAAAAAGCAGGACAACAGATTAGAGAAGGCACGTTAAATACCAAAGCCATAAACCGACGTCCACACCGTAATAATATTCAACAAGGAAACATCCTCCGGTGCCACTCAGAAGATGCTTTATACCCAAGAAGCTTAGGAAACAAATACTGCGGAACAAGCCCAAAGGGAGTTCATTACTTTAAGAACATCAAAGAGATCTGTAAAGAGGACACACAGTTAAGCGTGCGCACATGTGCGAACACAAACACCAGCAAACTCCGTTGTTTTCGTAATCGTCACAATCATCCACATTTTCTGTTGTAGCAGATGTGGTTACACGAAATACCCGGGGAGAAATGGTATCACCACCACAAAATAGCTGTTGATTCTCGGGCCTCCTCTGGTGAAGCAGAAACTATGAAAGAGGCTGGGGGAAGAGGGATTTCTGGTACAAGTCCCAGGGATCGTCTCACTCCTCCTGTCGTAAGGTGTCTGGTCATCTTCTCC